TGAGATTCGGCTAGAGTTTTTTAAGTTGCCCTTCTTAATTTGTTTTCACCCCCCTTGCAAGTTGCCTTCCATATAAATACATCCCCAAGGCCCACCATTTGATGTGACTCCCAGCTTGTAATTTGGCTCATTTGAACTTTAATTGCTTGGCGGCCCCCAAAGGGGACTCATTAAGATTGCCAGCCCGCAGCTGGAGCAACACAAATCTGGCGACACAACTATGAGCCCCTCGACCACCACCGAAGTTACTCATGGGTTAGATAGATGCAGCAATCCGAGTCCGCAGGCTCGTGTTTTATGTGCACTCGAGGCGGCTATAATCCAAAGTGCTCCCCGGTGAAAAGTTTTCTGGTTTATGCGAGAATGTGTGTCGGCTGCTCCATTGCTGGTTTTCTCATAAACACCATCGCTGGCGGATGCGGGCTGGATTCGGATGTCGTTACAGGTGCGGATGAGCTTCAGATGGCCACGAGTCAAGTGGCTCTTCGTCTTCTTTTGGCCACAAGCGCTCGGCGTTTTAATTACGGCCGCCGCCATTTTGTCCTTGCAAACAGGCATGACTTTTTATTGGACATGTAATTACTGCGTGACCTTTTTTGGCTCTCGGGCCCACGCATATTTTTTATAATTACATGAAAAATGAAGTCCTGGAGCTTATGCGAGTATCCTGAGCATCCTCAGTGTCCTGATGCCACGCTAATGATGCACGTACCACGAAGATTGCGCGGATTAAGACCCATTGACCTTTGGTTGGAAAAAGTGCTAAAAGTACCAAGACGTATAAAAGAGACAGCAAGTCCAACGTAGATTGATTAAAATAATCACGAACATTCATAGCTAGATCTGAATCCTAATAACTTTTAAAAAGAAATTATGAATTTCATTCGGATTCCAAAACAAATATTTATAAATAGTGATTTTAGCTCATGAACTTAGTATGTAATTAAAAAAGGGTTTAATTTTTTTCATTTTGAATTTTTTTCATATTTTGAGGCAAATATTTGCTGAACTAATATTTACAAACCATTGGTAAATAAAACAACATTTTTCAATTACGCATTCGATGGACCGTAAAGTGTTGCAAACATTCTTTGCACAAGAAAATTTTTTGAGACTAATTAAATTTCAGTTTTTCTCTTCGCAAGTTAATCGATAAAGATGGAAAAAATCATGCCACCACCAGCTAAATCCAATCATTTTTTCATGTCCTCCCTTTATCATTCCCTGGCTGTCCCTTTATCCTGCACCGTAAAAGGCAAAATCCATGAAATATTAACTAAGGGGTCAAAGTGCCAGGACGAGTACACCATATGGGCCAGTCTGGACCAAATCCCTGTCCCTATCCCTGCAATCCTGCCATCCTTCAGGTGACTGCGTCATTGGCCGTCCAGGGCTGAAGCATACAAAGTGAAACATGGCACATGGCAGGCACATGCACAATGGGAGGGCTTAGCAACTTTTGAGGCCATTAAAATGGAATAGTTTGGAAAATGGTTTTTGTGGGAGCACCTACGCATGTTCGCATGATTATAGTGCCTTGGGCGATGGCATGGCTTTACGAAATTAGCACCATTCTTTTAATTATTTCGAAACATTCGAATACAGGTGCCCAAGGATGGGTATTGGTTTTGGCTGGGATAAATTGAGTTGCCCAAAGCAGAAACATCGAAAAGCTTTGTTACCACAAATTAAATTGAATATTACTATTAAGTTTTGTATTTTGAATAGTAAGTTGTTAAGTGTTATGTTAGATTTTATAAAGTATAGCAAAGCTAGCATATAATGATGTCTAAATTAGAAGTGCGAGTAAGGATAGGTATCATTTTACGACCAATTTACCTCCAGCTGTAACCCATTGTCTGACTGTCGCCTCTTTTGATGGCATTGGCGATGCTGATGAGGTTTGCCCTTATATAGCTGCTCATTTTGTAGTGGCCTAGACCAATTCCAGAATTTACATAAGTGTTGGGCATGTGTGTTTTCCGTGCCTGTCTGGTCGAATGAAGGCCAATTTCAGTAATTTTTGCGTCAGCCGTTAGCCTAATTTGTGGGCATTACTATTCCGCTGGCGTTCCAGCTCGAGCCGACTTAAAATATGAACTGCAAGTCCCGCCGGCCCCACAAGCGGTTGAGGGATTTGAGGGGAAGGATTTGGGCCACAATCCATGGAAACGGCCGAATCTGGCTAGAGGAAAGCAAGAAAACAATTTGAGTGTTATTGCACGTTTCACTCTTTTTGCCTCGTGTGTGCTCGACTGTCGTCAAGTGCTCTAAATGGCTGGATCACACTTCTGGCTGGGAGTAGGCGCTTTTCCCTGGTAAGCTAAACAAAGCGGGGACACGGCCAAAAAAACCAGAAAATAATCGGCTTTGTGGGAATAGTTCCTAGGTCGAAATAGCACTGCCTTTCAGATAGCACCCTTTTGCATACAAGAAAATACAAATACCAAATGCACCACAAAAATAAATTTCCGTTTTTGTTTGGCTACACAAATTCCTTTGAGGGAAATCAAAACCGATTTGATTGCCAGCTAAATCGGTTTTAATTGAAAATGCAAACTCTGCCTTGAGCAACCCGTTTCGGCTTTGCTTTTCCACCACCCTTGGGATCTTCCATCTTGACATGCCAAACAAAACGAGAGCAAACCAAAGGAAAAGCATACCACTCTGCAGTGGATTTTAAATTTACTATTTTTCTGGGAGTGAAATTTTCAATTTGCATTTTAACAAAAATTCGCTTGCAACCTTTTTCGTGGGCAAAGAAATGGCTATGGGCCTGGGGTGGACCTTATCAACAAAACCAAATCACACGCATTCGTTCGAAATGATTTCGTGAAATTTATGCGGTTGCCCTGTGGATTCTCTTTTTTTCACGTTCGCTTTCACTTTTTCGGCCCTTCTTTTTTTTGGGTGGGAAACCAGACACGTAGAATTTTCGGGCAGCTGAAAGGTAACGAGTGCGACTGAAATTTCTTGCTCTACCTAAATCAAGGCTCTGACAAGCACGTGAAATGAAATAATTTAAAAATGCAAATTCTATTTTATCAGCCCACTGATATCTTAGCCCTGGAAAACAGTACCAAACCACAGACTTTTCATCTTGGCCCATTTTAGTTGAGCATTGAACTGGCTGGCTTTAGCTTACCGCAATTTTACCTCAAATAAGTTGGCTTTCCTCTCACGAATATTTTCGATTTTATAGAAAATGCGTCCTTTTGTGCAATTGAGATTCTTACAGAACTTTGAGCTTAGGTTTGCCCAATGCGTTAAAGTAACTAACGAGATTACATTTCATAATTACATAATATTATTTTCAAAAGTTTCTGTGTCCTATGCATTTTTCTAAAACATGTACATAAACTTAAGACCTTAAAAGTGGTTTATGTACATGTACATTTAATACTCAAAAAAATTACGACTAAATGAATTATTGAAATCAAACAGTTTCAGATGCAGACGGACATGTTCATTTTTTGTTCCAAGTTTTTGTGGTTAGCCAAAAATTTTTCTTTTCAATGACTTAGACTGCCAAGTTCATACTCCACTTTATCCTACGGCTCCCCGCCTGCCCATTGAGTGGATGAGTGTCCTGGGGCAACATGTCCTTCCCAGAGTGTTGGGGCAGAAAGTTGCTCAAAATAACTTTTTTTTGAGTGGGTGTGTTGAGCTAATCAATGGTGTGGCCTCTGTCGAATAGATTTTTTTTGGTTTGTTCTTTTTTTCTACAAATTTATAGCCTGAAGTTATTAGCTTTGTAATCTTTTAATAAAGTTTTGCCTCAATTGATGGGTGTTTAAATCGTTGGCACAGGGCAAAAATTGATTTTAGTTTCGGCCATCAATTGTGTAAATATTTTTCGATATGTGCGATATATGACAAATTTATCTTCCGCAAATACAAACAGAATAAATGCAGGCAAATAGTAAATAAAACTTTTTAGCTGTATGCATTTCATTTGATTAACTAGAGCAAGGTGCTAGGGGGAAAAATGTAAGGTGTGGAGCTTAGAAATCCAGCCAAGGACGCTAGTTGCACGTGTATATGAAATGATAATGAGGCCAAAGTTACCATTTATTTTTTACGCTTAATTTTCCTCTAGGGCGCAAAGTCGAAAACATAAAAAGGAAAAGTTTAAAAGGGAAACAGAAACCGGCAATGGTAAAAGGAAAAGGCGGGCAAAGCTACAAAAACAAACAACTTTTAGCAGCAAAAAGTGTGGCAAAAAAGAAAAATTAAAAGTGAAAAGGAAACAGAGAACCAAATTAAATGAAAGCCACCACAGGCGGTGACATTAAGCGGCAAATTTTTATGATTTTAATTAGCATAAAAGCGTAATTGAAAATTAACTGAAACGAAATACATGTGCCTCTGAAAGTGCGAGTGTGTATGACAGCCCCACACTCATTTGGGAGCCAAAGCGGGGAAGTCCCATTTGTTTTGCTGGAAATTTAATTCATTCACCTTGCATAAGCCGATTGCAATAATTTTTATCAATTTCTCGTTGCTTTGATGTGCGGGGCAAACATTTATTAAATTTATTTATTTAGGACTTTTCGCTCGTCAGGCGAGAACGATGAGAATTTTTTAAATTCATGCAAAAGTATGCAAAAGTATTAAAGCAAGATTACTCAACCATGAACTGGTTTAACATTATCTGTCAACATTTTTTTCTAAATTCCTCCTTCCTTTTTGTTGCACAGCTATATATGACGGATCGATCAGAGCCAGACTAATTGGTCAACATGCAAACAACTTTGTATTTTGTTTATAATTTTTTTGATATAAAACAAAATTTTACGACTTTAGCAAGACTTTTCAACGTTTCATTAAAATGTATCCATTAAGAGTTGAATATTTTGATTACAAGCCGTCTTGAACCATAATTATTTACTTTTTGTGCTACATAAACACCAGGTTTAATTGAAAGCCACTTTAATTAGCATCCCCAACCAAACAAGCTGTAAGCAAACGTACTCTGCTTTATTCTGGCTCATCCACAGAACATGTTACCTGCAGCACTCCAGAGCCCGGGGCGAATCCAGTGGAACTGACACGGGGACAGAAAGCTGCTGAGGGACAGCTTACGACGGCCACAAGATCCACTTTGCCAGATAGGCCAATGACAACACAAAACGATCTAATTACGACAGCCGGCAACTTGACGACAGCAAAAAAGGCAGCCGCAGCAACAGAGGCAACCAGCTCGTGGAGCACGGCCTCGGCCCGGGGCACGTCATCAGCAGATATAGCAGCAGTAGCGATACCAACCAGCCAGTCAGCACAAATTGGGCTAACTACTCGGCCCACAGAACGGCAAACAGAAGCGCAGACAGCAGCAGCAGCAACATCAGCAGAAGCAGAAGCAGAAGCAGCGGCAGCAACAGCAACACAAGCCGCAACAGCGACATCAGCATCAGCAGCAACTGAGACCGCAGCAGAGATGCTCATATCAACAATTTATCCAGCATCAACGGAAACGGATGGGCCCAACTCCATTGAGCGGCTGCCAGGCCGCAGTGAAAAGTTGGCGATGGCTCATCCGGGTGTCGCTGATTCATTGACCAAGGGCTTCTCCATTCCGACCTTCCTACCGCCATTTCCCGTTTTCGCGGCAGCGGATTTGCCAGCTTACCGTGCCGCTGCCGATGCGGCCGAGGCGGCCAAGTTGGCGGCAGAGGCGGAGGCCGCCAAAACAGCAGCATCCGCAGCCTCCGCGGCGGTGACAATGACGCCGGAGGAGCAGCGCCGGCAAATGTTTAACGAGCAGCACTCCTACCTGGCCGCCCACCGGGAGGCGGGGACGGGGACGGGGCCGCGACGCAACCTCACAATGCCCGTGCTAAACATGACCGCCCAGATGGGTAACCACGCCTACATGCCGTGCCAGGTGAGTGAGAAGTACACGTACACCCGAAGAAATGGGTGGCCCATATTAGTAAACAAAATGGTAGGATCCTATAAGTATGCTAAGAAAAATACCTGAAAAGCAAAGCAGGCAAATTTAAAATTTCTCTCAAATGAATATTTTAGTTTGTGGTTAATTAATACTTATGTGTGAACTTTAATAAGTTTTTTAACACATACCATCTTCTAAAAATATTAAGGCACAAAATTATTCCAAGTTAAATAGTTGGGATTCATTGAAATAAGTCCTTGGTTTACTTTCAGTATATTTAATTAGCTAAAACTTAACATAAGCATTTTAATTAATAACATTTTAAAAGAAATACAATTATTTTCGGTGTAGGCTTCTTTTATTTTATAGCACACAATCCGATGAAGGTCGCGCTTGGGCGTGTGACATAAGTCGGGTAAGCCTTAAAGGTTCGCTGGAAAAAAGGGTTTTTAATACGAGATTACGTTTAATTGCGAATATTATATTTCAATTAAATGTCACGTGCCATAAATAGCTGTCAACCGGCTAAGCAGCTTAAAGGGTTATCCTATTAAGGGCGCAATGAAAGAACAGAAATCCTACATACAAAGCTAGCTCTTTTCCGTTAAGGTAAAAATGGGAAACAATAAGATATTTATGGAAAAAAGGAGTCTGCCCGCCCTTTGCATGTACGATTATAATTACTTAGACATAGTTATTTTCAAGTTAAGCCCAAGTATTAAATACAATTACATCCAAAAATCGTTTTGCCCTTCTACAGAGCTTTATCATTATTTTCATGTCAAAGCAGCATGAGGCATCCCAAAAATTGGGTTATCCAAGAAACTCTCAACATATCCAAAAATGTAAATTCCTCTAGCTAACTTTAACGGATTAGCTAGACCTTAAGGCCACACACGTCACCAAGGATTTAATTTCCAGCATTAAGACTTTAACCACTCAGGGCAAACGACCCTGACTCACTTACAAATTCCCCGAAACTTAAACCAAACGAAGACAAGCCAGCGACAGACTGACTGACTCGGTGTCCCCCTTCTGCTTCCGAATTCCTTTTTAATTTCAACGGGCCGGAGATAAAACTAGCATTTACAGTATTGCACACAGACACGCTTTCACACACCCGCAGATACAGATACATGGTCGGGCGCAGATACAGATACATCTAGGTGGGGAAGGCGAAACACTTATTTGCATGCATACATATTGCACAGTGTATTCTACATACGGCTACAACAGCCATCAAATTTACATGCGTTCGTAGGTGTGTCTTTGCCATATATGTATGAGGATATCTGCTGAATGGACTTTGCCAAAGCCCATAGAACAGCTTCCGAAAAGAGCCGAGCTAAAAAATACATATATATTTATAAATTGTGCGGAATTGTAAACGGCAAATAGAAGCCTCAGCCTGGGCGCTTGTTTACGTCATAAAAAATAAACGTAAACAGAATGTATTGTTGATATGCAAATGAAATTATGCTGATCTGTGCCGGACCAAAGGCGAAAGCAGGAACAGGACGACTAAAACAGCAGAAAGGCACGCTACGGAAATAGGGCCAAAGCAAAACGCCAAACTGTGAGAATATTTTAGCACAAAGACGTGCACCCTCATCCTTAGATTCCGCCTTCAGCTCATTTCCATTTCCCGGCCTCCGACATTCACTTGGATCTCAGATTTTACGTCTGTTGATTCGCCTGAGCCATCTGATTTTTTGCAACTTAACACAACGAAACGACAGGCAAACGTGGCCGGATTAGTTCGTCGGGCCGGGGTAATTATTCATGTATGGATTAGTCAACATCGAATGCAATCTGTGTAATGTGAAAGCTCATTAGCGGCAGATTGGCAAAGATTAACATAATAATAGTTATGTAAATGCTGGCTGCCTTGAGCTTTGATTTTGATGTTTTAATAGTTCACTGATTTTCGATACTCGGTTTGAAAATGATAAATTAGTTATGTAATGAATAGATAGGCTTAATATAGATTAGTTTGTAATCGAATTATATACGGGAATGTTCTCAACACTTATGTTTTTTAGTCAATTAAATACTGTCAATTTGTAAGGATGTGGTAATCAATTCCTCGAATTTTCAGATACACCGACTTTCGGATAAGCCCGTTTCGTGGGTCCGCATGCGCGATAATCACATTATCAGCGTGGACGAGACGACCTTTATAGCAGATGAGCGCTTCCAGTCAATTTTCCAGGAGGATCACGATTACACCTGGTCGCTGCAGATCAAATACGTACAGCCAAGTGATGCCGGGTATTACGAGTGTCAGATGGCAACGGAGCCCAAGTTGAGTGCCAAAGTGCACCTCCAAATAGTCAGTGAGTGCTTACAAATTACCCATAACGAATTAACCCTTTTTTTTATTTATTTACAATTTTTAAGTTGACCATACTTAATAGAACCATACAGACAGTCAATATGACTGATATTAAATAAATTTCCCTTGGCAACTTGACCATTAACTAATTTATAAATGCCTTTAGATCAGGTACCGAAAATAATCGTTGTTTAACCATTTATTTACAAAGAACTACTATGATTTTATTTTATCTATTTACAAAGTGTTTTAAAATAAGAACAATGAAAAAAAATAAAACTATTCACTTTAAAAAGTGTAAAATCATAACCAAAATAAATAAATATCAAATATCTCAGTAGACTTATAGCACTAAAACTTTTGAATAAAAGATTTTTTTAGTTCCAACTTTTGAGAACTTAGATATTTTAGTGACAAATTATAATGACCACTTGTCGAACTTTAGCTAATGAGATATATGCTGCGATGTAATGCATCCATATGATTCCACACAGAACCCAAGACTGAGCTGATTGGGGATCAGAGCCGCTTCGTGAAGGCGGGCAGCAAGGTGGCGCTGCACTGCATCGTCCGGGGAACCTTGGATCCGCCCAAGTACATCATCTGGTTCCGGGGCCAGAAGAAGATTAGCGAGAGTGACGAGCGGACCGGTTGGTATACGCAACTGGATCGAAATATATTCGGAACCGTGGGCGATAATCAAAACACGGTTAGTTGGGTGTTTATGCGTAGTTCGCCGGTTAATTGGCTAATTGGTTAATGTCACTGAACACAAACATTTATTGCAGATCGGCTCGTTAATCATACCGCTCGTGCGGAAAGAGGATTCCGGCAATTATACGTGCCAGCCGTCGAACAGCGTCTCCGTATCCGTGGACCTGCACGTGCTAAGCGGTAAGTTTACAGCCTCCATCCTGCAACCTCCTCCTACACTATCTACCCGAATGTGTGGCAAATGAATGATTCATATTAATCGCAACTGTCGCCACCACGTCGAACGGCGATGGCCAACAGGTGAATATTCCGCATCGGCCATCATGTCAACGGCGGCGAGGACGATGACGCCTGGCGGGCGGAGCACGTTCCGGTCGACGCTGGGACTCCTGGGAATCCTTGGACTTCTTTGGGCGCTGCAGGATGCGATGCACACAACGCCCCAGACGTGACTCGCCTATTGAACGCCTGGTCGCGGCGTACGACTTCCAATTATTTGTAAGCTTTTGCGCCATCTGCAGTTACGTAATTTAGGTTAGAGATTAATTAAAGGCGGCCTTGTAAATAGCGGTGAGAACAGCGGGAGCCCGGGCGAAGCAGAATTGACGGTTCTGTAATTAGGTTAAACGTTACCATAACTCTCATGTCTGCGTGTCTCACATATTCCCCAAGCCATACTGAATTCAATCTAATGTACAATTCAATTTAAGCAGACCCCATTTCAAGTTGTGAAATCGAATCAATAATTAGATTATTGTCAGAGAAATATTATTAAATGAAAAAAAAATAAAACTGAATCATAAAAATCCATCATAAATAACAGGCATTCAATAAATCATGTGAAACTTTATTTAAATCTGTGTCCTCTCTCTGTGTGCTCGGTTAGGTTTATCAGAATGGTAAATCATTTATGAATATTATCAGGCTTAACTAATTGATTGGCTGTATTAGTATTCTCTGGCGAGCTATTGATTAAAATGGAAAAAGTTTAATTTAAATGCATTTCGGTGCTATAAATCGGCTTTTGAGCTAAATGCGCAATTGCTTTGAATGAGTTATTCGGTGGTGCTAACGAGATTATATTTGTGGATATTTATTTATTTTTATTCTTTCTCCGTTTCTGTTTTTTTCAAAAACGGATAAACATTTTCTTTGGTAGACGTAGAATAATTTGATAAAAATTAAGAGCAGCACTTCATTCATTCATAAAAAAAATCCATGTGCAGTTCAGTACAAATAAACATGAATAAAGTTGTCATGAGATAAAATGATAAATGAACATGCTTTACGGTGAGGCTTGACTTCTTTCTCTTATTCCCAATTCTGTTTAAACTTTAATTTTTTTAAGAAAACAAACTAGACTTTGGCTTCCCATTAGTTGAGTCTTTGCGGCATGTAAGTATTTGACAACATTAAGTACAGTTCAGTACAAATAAACATGAATAAAGTTGTCATGTGATAAAATGATAAATGAATCTGCTCTATGGCGAAGCTTGACTTCTTTCTTTTACTTTCAATTCTGTTTAAGCTTTAATTATACCCTTGCAGAGGGTATTATAATTTTGGTCAAAAGTGTGCAACGCAGTGAAGGAGGCATCTCCGACCCTATAAAGTATATATATTCTTGATCAGGATCACCTCCTGAGTTTATATAGCCATGTCCGTCTGTCCGTCTGTCCGTCTGTCCGTCTGTCTGTCCGTCTGTCCGTCTGTCTGTTTCTACGCAAACTAGTCTCTCAGTTTTAAAGCTATCGAATTGAAACTTTGCACACACCCTTCTTTCCTTTGCACGCAGTATATAAGTCGGAACGGCCGGGATCGGCCGACTATATCCTATAGCTGCCATATAACTGATTGATCGGAAATGCCATAACTTTGGTGTTTGTAAAGTTAGAAAGTTGGGATTTTCTACAGGTTTTATATTTGGCCAATCAATCCGACCTACCAAATTTCATAGGGATCGGCCGACTATATCCTATAGCTGCCATATAACTGAACGATTGGAAATGCCATAACATTGGTGTTTTTAAAGATAGGAAGTTTGGATTTTTTATGAGTATTAAGAATGCATCATAGGAATAATTTTGGAGAATATAATTATAGAGTATTCTGCAAGGGTATATCAACTTCGGCTCCGCCCAAAGTTAGCTTTCCTTTCTTGTTTTAAGTTAAGGCCGATTTCCGCTTCGATACTGAGCTAAAAAGTATGTCTAAAACTTCACAATTTAATTAATTTCTTAGCTTAAAAGCTACTTTTAGTTTACGATAAACACAAGAAAACGAGCCCAAGTAAGGGCTTAACTTTTATATTCTAAATCTAATTTCCAAAAAAATTTGGAACTATATTATTATATAGTTTTATATATTTATACTCTTGCAGAGGGTATTATAATTTTGGTCAAAAGTGTGCAACGCAGTGATGGAGGCATCTCCGACCCTATAAAGTATATATATTCTTGATCAGGATCACCTCCTGAGTTGATATAGCCATGTCCGTCTGTCCGTCTGTCCGTCTGTCTGTCCGTCTGTCCGTCTGTCTGTTTCTACGCAAACTAGTCTCTCAGTTTTAAAGCTATCGAATTGAAACTTTGCACACACCCTTCTTTCCTTTGCACGCAGTATATAAGTCGGAACGGCCGGGATCGGCCGACTATATCCTATAGTTGCCATATAACTGATTGATCGGAAATGCCATAACTTTCGTTTTTGTAAAGTTAGGAAGTTGGGATTTTCTATGGGTTTTATATTTGGCCAATCATTCCGACCTACCAAATTTCATAAGGATCGGCCGACTATATCCTATAGCTGCCATATAACTGATTGATCGGAAATGCCATAACTTTGGTGTTTGTAAAGTTAAGAAGTTGGGATTTTCTATGGGTTTTATTTTTGGCCAATCAATCCGACATACCAAATTTCATAAGGATCGGCCGACTATATCCTATAGCTGCCATATAACTGAACGATTGGAAATGCCATAACTTTGGTGTTTTTAAAGATAGGAAGTTTGGATTTTTTATGAGTATTAAGAATGCATCATAGGAATAATTTTGGAGAATATAGTTAAAGAGTATTCTGCAAGGGTATATCAACTTCGGCTCCGCCCGAAGTTAGCTTTCCTTTCTTGTTTTTATATGATAACGAACTAGTTTTAATTAGTTGAGTCTTTCCGGCATGTAAGTATTTGACAACATTAAGCCAAATAGCGTTATGTTAGTGAAAGCGTAACCCATTTTCCGAGAAAATATTCACTGTTGACCCTTAGTTGCCGTGGTCCATAAAAAGAAGTCCAGCAATTTTCCTCAATGGGGATATGCATAAATAATTTAATATTTTATGGTAATTTGGTTCTGCCTCGAAGTCCAGCCCGGTGCTGGCGACCTTGTTCGGGACATCAAAGTGACGAAAGGAAAACAAAAATGAGCCAACACTTATGGCCTGGCCGAGGGGAAAAAGCCAAGTAGAGTGCATAAAAATAACACAAGCCATAAACTGGCGAATTCCAAGGGTCATAAAGCCTTTAAGGTAGCCAGTCTATTTTATTGCAGCGGAAATCACATCTCCGTCTTCCCAGAGAACGGGCGTATAAAAAACAGGGCGAGGAGCAAACAAACAAAAAGTATGGAGTAAAATAAGAAACAACACGTAAAATTTGTCGTTGTCCTGTCAAGTAGGAGAATTTCCTCGGAGCGAGTGGGATGGACGTAAGCGAAGCAATTTTCAAGAAACACAAGAACCTGGGGTGAGCGAGCGGGCCGACGAAAGGCAGTAAATATTTTTCACTATGTTGCTGATGCTGATGCTGATGACTGACTCGCCTGACGACATCCGGGCTCTTGGAGGGACGGGAAAGGGGGAACTCCCGCTGGCTTAAGTCCAACAACTCAGCAGGGCCCGCGTCAAGGCAGGAAAAGTCAAACAAGATGAAGCCAGTTGGAAATGTCCTTGCTCGACGCTGGCCCGGCCAAATAAGATCCCAAGAACAACAAGGGGACCAAAAATAAAACTTTAAGTTAAGCACTGGGAGGGAGAGTGAAAGTGAACACTTTCAAGTGACAGTTTCATCCAACATTTATATATTTCTTTCTCTTTGCTAAATTTATTCAATATCCGATAAAACATTGCCAGTCCTCGCTTGGATTTCCGTAGACATTTTATTTGAATTTTCGTTTGAGCCGGCCGACTGAATGGCAATCAAATTACTGGACTGGTCCACACTTCGGAGCATGAGAACTTGATTGCCGTCAAAAAAGCAGTTGGAAAATTTGATACTCTGCTAGGAAAAGCAAACAAACTTGTCCAAATGTTAAGCTAACAAGTGAAACTTAATATCCTTACAGTTAAAGTATCGATTTAAACCGTTGCCTTAATTAAAAATTTTATAAAACTGTGCTTCATTACTTACTAAACCGTATAGCCAGCTTAATAATAGGATAAAAACGAATGATATTTCTAAAATTACCTATATGTTTCCTTTAAGCAAGTTGAAAAAGTTTTCAATGGACTAGGACTCTTTTTGTTTTTAGGGGTACTTGAAGACTGCGTTGACCTTCCTTGCTTCACCACTTTTGACTTTAATCGTGTTTTACCATTCCGTTTTTTCCCTCGAACTTCTTAATTTTCTCCTATTTGGCCCTGTAATGACCAAAGGACTACATGAGAAACAGAGGCGAGTGCACCCAATGACATCTGGCCCAGACTTGACCGTTTTGTCGTGTGGCAACTTTTTCTGCTGCTGGTGACCCAGAGACCTGATAATTGGGTTAGCCCAGAGACAGGACCCCTTTTAGCCACGCCTTCGGTGGGAAGTGCGAGTGCGTTTTATGATCCTTTGATGTCCGAAGTTGGCCTTCTGCTCCACCTTGCACTTCGACTATCAGCGTGATTTTGGTTCGTCTCTTTGCTCGGTGTTTTAACATATTTTTTTAGACATTCTCCTTGTTCTTGAAGCACTTAGGTTTCGCAAGTATTTTTTGTTGGCTTAAGTCCTGGCTGTTTGAGCAGAATGTGCTAGTTGTGATTGAGGTTTCACATTTCTGTAAACAGTAAACAAGTCGAAACGAAAGTGTCCAGCCCAAGACAACATCTTTTCCAAAAAGTAAATAAATCCCAAGTAAATAAATCAGTAGAAATCTTCAGATAATTGTATTGAACAAGCCAAATAGCCGGGCAATTGTCGGAGTCAACAAAGTATTAGAAAAGTATGCTTCATCTCTTGTTGGCATTTGCTTCTTCACTCCTTGCGATAAGCTATGGGGTAATCCTCATTTTTTCTGAATTTGGGCCGCTGATATGCGTCAAAGTTCTTATCGGACATGCATCTCTGGAATGGTTCAATTTGAGGAAGATAAATGGCGTTTGCGCAAGAAATTTCTGTCAGAAGAATTCAAATCATTTTGCATTAGCGAACTGAAACAGGTCTACACTCATATATTTTTATTTCACCCAATGGGAAACATTAACAGTTTGAAATAAAATTGGAAAATGTTCTATTGCAATTAAATTCGATTTCATAGAACATTTAAAAATAACATTACATATCGGTGACAACTTATTAAAAGCAAAAATAACGAATAATTTATTTTATAAATTTTTAAAATTTTAGAACATATTAAACTGTGTGCTATTTTTCTTGTGTGAACCATTTTTAATATTATAGATTTTAATCATAATATACACTGTAGACTGCTTAATAAATAGTAACCGAGTAGGTACCTTTACTTTGATTTCTTCTATTTATTCATTTGCTTAAATATTAAAAAATACTGTTTACAAATTTTAAGTTATAGATCTTAAAAAAAAATAAAATATTGAATTTTACTTGAAATTTTTTGTCAAAAAAAAAACGAC